GTAGAAATACCGAGGCGAATGTGGTGGGCCACCCTGTATAGAATAGAGTATGACGAATGCTCTGCAGTATATACAGGCCAAACCGGTGAAAATTTTGACATAAGACTGCGTGAACACGTCTGTTCAGACAAAAAATCTGCAATGTACGAACATCTTCAAGAATGAAACCACAAGGTAAATGAAGATAACCTCAAAATCCTACACATATGTAATAAAGGGAAAAATGAATTTGTTGAAGGCTATAGAAATTAACAAATCAATTGAAAATCAGAAACATATACCCCTAAACGAGCAACTCGATTTATGTAGGTTTCCTCTCTTGAATTTATGAGTTTAACAGCCCCTAGAATTTTTAGTGTAGAATTTTAAAAGTTGGCATCCTGGTTCGCCCAACTACCTGTGTCTCAAATACCTGTCATTGCAACATACCTGAAAAGACTAATATATTTTAAACTTCAGATTTCAGTTTTACACTTCATAATGGGGTCAAACCCGAAACCGGTCGTATAAATAAAATCTATCAGTGGTATTTAGACGAAAGTGTTTTTATTTATTCCATTCAAGTGATCGTTTGATATTATGATGCGTTTGCGTTATGACGGAGAACATTATTAATAAGTACGTTATGAAACTGTACATTATGCCGCTGTACGTTTCTGTCTTGTACTATATGATCAGTTGCCATTTCTATCGTTTGACGTTATGATGGAGTAAATGTCTGTATATTACGATTTCTATCTTGTACATTATGATGCGTTAGGTGTTCCAAAACACAAAGGTGTCTCATGCATATCATGCGAGTGTCGAAGATGTTAATATAACACGCGTAACTCTGCGTTATGCTCATGGATATATGCTGTGACCGCAGATGTTCAACATGCTGACAGCAGATGCATTACGGTCTCAGGTGCCCCATGACAGGTTCTGCATCTAGTGTCAGGGACCTCTATACTCATCATGCGGCTACGGTAGACCCGGGTGTCGAATACACTATCCTATTTTGGATCCAGGATTATTATTGCATTATGATGAAATGTATATACCAAATTTCAGATCATTAGGATAACTGGAAGTGGACCTAATGAAAGCGAGTCAGTTGCAAATAATTATATTCCTGGTCAGTATCACAACTGATATTCAAATACTTATGACTGACATTTGTGTTTCTCAAGAAAGACACCATTGCAAGAGTTTCTTTCGATCGAAAGACTGTGTTTCGTTTGATCAGGGTGTAACCACCTCAGATCAGTACCAGGGTTGGTCAGATAACATTGGATTTCTCTATGTCTCAGCCAACCGTATTATGAACTCTGCGTTTTGAAATCGATGATTAGAATTGAAATATCTCTTAGATGTAGTTCAATGTCCGTTATGACATCAATCAGGAAAGTAGTTTTTTTCTGTCAGATGTTTGCCTCATGTTCCAGTTTGTATGAATGATTGAAGAGAAACGTATCCCAACATTGTCGAAACTTTTTTCTTTCTTTTGTCCGAATTCTTTTTGAATGCATAATATCGATTCCATATATGTGGTTACTTGCTAATCACTTCGGGATATAAAGCACTGATGGGAAAGTCAGGATCAATATCAGAATCATCTATGATACTCGGAGATGAGTCACTAGCCTAATCTTCTCAAAGAAGAGCTGTCAAGCTTAAATTCGCTCCTGAAGTTACCTTAAACACGAAATTTTCAATCAAGTATCTCATATTCATTTTTCAATCCATATTTTCGTTTGAAATGCTGTCAATGTCAATGTGTTTTTCATCTACAAATTCACCAATAATTTTTATATATATACATTTCATGGATATACAACTTAACTGCAGTAGTTATAGTTATATCAATTATCACTAGTTCACAGCCAATTTACGAATGTAATACCAAAGGCAGTTCTTTGTTGTTAATTTTTGGTCCCTAAATGCGAAAATGATTTTTTTTTGAGTCATGATTTTTTATATTTCTTCTGCAAAAAGGCTGGTTTTTAATGGAGAACGTTTACCAGTTCCAACACCCCCGGCAAATTAGGAGGAAGATTTGGAAATGTATGATAACCAGGCAGGTTCCCATGATGTGCCAAAAAGAGATAGTCCTTATTTTCCCCATTTGACCGAACAACCTGAATTGAATGACCTAGTTTGGGACCTCCACTTGTCCAAGAGAATGCTGAACTATTAGGGTCTAGAATACAACAATGGAATTTACTAGCCCCTAAAACCAAAGTTACAATATTTAGGAACCGTAACCATGAGCTATCCTCGTTTTTCAGTATGCAAAATGAAATGTGTGTTTGTGTAAATCCAAAATGGTGTGATGGAAAAATCAGGATTTGCACAAATCCCGGACGAATGGCGTTTATTTATAGATTCATCTAAAACAAGTTTGAAAGCCGTTCTGCTCCATTATGGTAACAAAATGCCCTCTATTTCTCTTGCACATGCAGTTGCCATGAAGGAAACTCAAGAAAGTATGTCACTTATTCTAAATGCAATAAGTTATAATACGAATAAGTGGCAAATATGTGGTGACCTAAAAGTCATAGGACTATTACTAGGTCTTCAGGGCGGATTTACGAAGTTTTGTTGTTTTCTTTGCCTTTAGAACAGTAGGGCGACACAGAGCCATTATCAAGTAAATGAATGGCCTCCGAGAGATAAATATAGTCCAGGTCAAGCTAACGTGTTAATCCCAAAAACGTTTTGTTACCTCCATTACACATTAAACTGGGGTTAATGAAAAATTTTGTAAAAGCATTAGACAAAGAAGGTGATGCTTTTGAATATGTTTAACACGTTTTTCCAAGATTAAGTGATGCAAAGCTCAAGGAAGGTATATTTGTTGGACCACAAATTAGAAAACTACTGAGTGATCATCAGTTTGATCAAAAATTAGGTAATGTTGAATTAACTGTGTGGAGTTCTTTCAAAAAAATTGTTTCAGAGTGTTTACGGAACAAGAAAGTAGAAAATTACGAAAGTAGAAAATTACGAAAGATTTGTAGAACTACTTGAAAACTACTGCAGAATGGGATGTCGCATGTCTCTCAAAATCCATTTCCTGCACTCCCATTTTAATTTTTTCCTAGAAAATTTGGGTGCTGTCAGTGACGAACAAGGGAAAAGGTTCCACCAAGATATACTGACAATGAAGCAACGTTACTAAGGCAGATGGGATGCAGCAATTATGTGGGGGATTTTAGATTTTTCAGACAAATTTTATCATTTTCATTATTATTATCGTTATTATCATTACATTATCATCAAATTCTTGTATTGTCATCGATCCCTGATAAGTGAACCAAATTTCAGATCATTCAGACAACGGAAAGTGAGTGAAGATCGTGCTCAGATATTCTGTTACATAGATAGATAGGTCAAGTTAATAAGCGTGTGGAAAAAAGGGGCAACCGACGTTGTAGTTATTTAAATATGAATACGCCTGTGTTCGTGGCCTTCACGTGCCAGTGCCCCTTCTGACCGGGGGCCTGTGGCATCATGGCCCGTCTTGCCACTGAATATTAAATTATAGTTACCTACTGATATTATGAAAACTAAAAGTCAGACCTGGTGCAGACATTATGTCCCCACGACTACTTTCATCAGATGTAAAAACTGTAGAATCTTGAACATAGTTAATCTGATTTGTTGGCATAATTGGTGTGAGAGGTTTTTATTACAGAACCAATTTGATTTTTTCCGTATCTCATTTTGTGTTGTAACTTCGACTGTGAGAACAAATATATTAATAAGTTTGAATGTGATAAGTTAGGATACTCAGTTGTTTCCTGGAAACTTTGAGCCATAAAAGAAATTATTTTGTAACTGTGAATACTTCCTCTCGTTCATTGGTGTCAATTCAGAGAACATTTGGTTGAATTTTCTGCAAGTTCTAACAATGATTTGATTACTTTGTTCATGTGTTATTAATAATTTCAAATATGCAAACTTCTTTGAATAATCCATATTTGCATTCATTTTGGAAGATGTTTTGAAACACCGTCTATAACTATTTGTAAATTACTTATAAAAGTGATCAATCTGTTATAAGCTTGATGATTCCACTGCTACCTGAAAACCAAATTTTAAAAAAATGTTTCCCGAAGAAGTTACTTCATTAAGAAAATTTTTTGATTTAGGTATAGGGACATGATATATCTTGAAACATTCTTCATCTCTTTTCAATTTATCGAGTAACATACAACGGGTTTTATTTGAGAAAATTAACTCTTGACTACTTTGAAGAATAGGAATAATAGTAATTTCAGCTCGCCCTAATGATACGAAGTCGATCTCTTGGTGTTAATAAAATATTTCGAGTTTGTCCCAACTATCATCAAGATATTAACTTTTCATCGATTGAGAGTACTGATTTACTTAACTTCAATCAAGACTATGTTTTGGACGATATAGGCACAAATTATTTTGTATCTCGAAAACCCATAGAGATAGGATAGGAGTAGAGCCAAGATAATTGACATTATATATAGACATTTGAAGTTTAAAAATTGACAGTAAAAACAAAACAGGATTACCAAAAGGCACACCAACAGCATGGTTGACACTAGCAAATTCAAAAGTATCCGAATATGGGTACAGTGCTGCCAAGTACTCATAATTGAAGTAAATGACAGACTCAGCACTGCGTCCAAACCCATATACTATATGTTACTTGGGGAACTTGGGGAAATGAATTTCAATTTCAAGATGTAATTATAAATGTTGCTGAGGTTGTTGAACTCAGTCTTTTTGTTCATGTTATTGGTATTCCTTTTGATAAAGAACATTTCTCTACTGTACTGAAAGCAACTCACAAAAACGGTTGTTTGAAGAAATGTTCTTTATCAAAAGAGCAGTCTACCGGTGGCCCTCAAATTGAAATCAATATGCGAGTGATGAGAATGGTACTTATTTATCTTTTGATTTTCATGGAATTATTTTCCAGCAGCTTGACTTCATTANTATATATAAATATATATATATATTATATTTATTCATTTTAGTAATATCGATACACGAATCCAGCAAGCGGAGTTGGAATATCAATTGGGGAGAGAAGAACTCAATCTTCTAACTCTTTTAGAAGAAACTAGAGCTCTTCAGATTTGTATAGAAGAATCCAACAAAGTATCCTGCGAACTTCATACTTTATACAGGTAAGAGTGTAATCATGAAGTGAACCATCACGTCTCATGAATTCAGATACTTTTAAAAACATAAGCATATCGTTTTTGGTCGTGCTCTATAAAATGAATTTCGTGAATAATTTTTATAAGGAAATTATTGAAAAGCAGAAGAGGATTTCAATGTGAAAAATTTTTATCCAACAACACTTCTGACACACATCAAGTTGACTTAATCATGAGATGATCTAAACTTCGAACTCAAATCAAAATGAAATTTCAAATTTACTTTCAGTAACAGTAACAAAATATGGTATGAAAATAATTAACGAATAGCCATTGTTCACTTTTTTATAATCCAATTTTTTCAAAATAGCTTTAAGTTTTCCAAAAAAACTTCGAAAGGTCACCCTGTCAGATATACCTAAATAGGCACTAAGAGTTTGTGATATAGTTTAGATCAGCTCATAAGATTTTTACCAATGAATGAAGTCACTCAAAACGAAGGTTTATGTGTAGATATATTGATATTTTGTTTGAATTTATTTGGAGTATGACGATGTTATCTGTAGGAAGTGATGCTGCTTAACTTCTTCGAGATATAGTAAAACATATGTTTTTCTTCCATCTAATTTACAGAAAACATTGCGACACCATATATTTATATAATTATTATTGTTTGAATAATGGTCGCATATAGTAATTGGGAAGCTACTTGGACGAATATGATAAAAATGTTCTTACTTCAAGTATTTCATGCACATAATGTCCTTCACACCATACAAATCAAATTGGTATCATAGAAGTTATCGCAAACTATCGCGTAAGAAATGAATCCAAGCGGACTCTCCATGATTCGAAATGTGTTATGAAGAAAGGTCGCAATCGCTTTGGTTCGGTTTTCGTTTCATGTTGTCTATGAGTAGATATGTATTCACCTATTTTAGTTCGGAGCACTGGTTCTTATTAAGAAGTAACATTTGAATTTCAAATATAAATCACAGGTCACAGGCTGCCAACACCTGAATAAATTAATGTGTAGTGTCATCTCCCATTTTTTGTGGGGATTGTTGATAGAACTTTATCTGTCTCAATCAACTACTGGAAATAGTAATCCTATTACCAGATTCTGAAGCTGTGGAAAAAAGATTGCATAAAGACTGATTGCTGAATTTATGGGGATGCTCATACGATCTTCTATTATTTCTTTTCCTCAGTAAAGAAATTGACGATTAGGCTGACTATTTAGTGAATAGTTTTTTGACATATAATCAAACTTCCATCCTATCCTACTTTTTTGATTCTTCTAGTTTGAATAATAAAACCAAAACCACCAAAAAGCACTTTTTCACAATTACAATATAAAGATTTCAGTTCCTGAAATAAATATCGAATATTTTTGTCATAGATTTCCTACAAATTGGTTCTACTATGTATAATTGATGGAAAATAACTTTGCATACTAAATATGTTTCAATCCGAATAGATTTCATTAAAATTTTCTGGGTAAAATTACACAAAACAATACATTTAAAAAATTATAAAAGATAATTTAACCGATTACCTGCTATCACTGCCATANGGGTAAAATTACACAAAACAATACATTTTAAAAATTATAAATGATAATGTAACCGATTACCTGCTATCACTGCCATACTCTCTATTTCCTCCAGCAGGAATATGTTTCTTCTTCTTCGATTATTTCAATCCACAAGTCTTTTGGTGATACTCCTTTAAAAAATCATTAATTCCAATAAACGGAATGTTCAGTGAAAATGAAGAAAGAAAAAGTTTTATCTTCAGCCGCCAAACATAACAATTCAAAATTCAATTCAGAGATTATGTTATAGCATCGCTCCTTGCCGTCTGAATCAACAGGGGTTATGATTAATTCTCAATATTATTCATTGTCTGATGTTTCACTTTATTACGAAAGGGATTATTCATTAATGAAAATGTCGTTGTACAGATCAGTCATTTCCTTAGTGTTGTGCGATAGTGCCTTTCAGTCTCTTTTATATTTTAACATCAGAAGTGGGATTGAGTAACTTCACGTGTCTTTGATTGTGTGTTGTGCAACGAGAATCCAAAATGAGTGACGAAGAAAATAACCTCTACCAGGATTTTCTAGAAAAATATATCGAGCGGAAATATCTGAAGCACTAAAAAGAAGGTTCAGCCAACGTGTGCCCGATTCAGAGATGGTGGATAGTGGAAGTGAATCTGGATCTTGATCATCGACGGCCCGACGGTGGTTACAAAAGATTGACCAACTTGGAGAAATTCACAACTTGACCGAATATCAGAAGTCTACATTTATGCAGCAAAATTTGAGAGGGTCAGCAAGAAACTGGTTTAATCGTTTGGACGATTACAGAAAAACTTGGGCAGAATGGAAAACCGCCCTAACTCGAGCATTCCCCAGATGCGTCGATTATGCAACGGCTATGACCCATTATTACTACGAAAAATTGGCACTTATACAACAATGTAGACTTGACAAAGAAGCGGCTATTTCTTGCTTGATAAGGGGACTACCACTCGAGCTCCAAGTGAATGCATATGCTTTCCAGTGTTCATCTCCAGATGAACTGCATGCTGGGTTCGTTGCACCTCTCGAGAACTATCAAAGTCCTATGGATGAATGTGGGGTGAAAAGACCTAGATACTAACGTAACCTAAGTGGGCCGAAGGAATGTTTCAGTTGTGGTAAACAGGATTACATTACCAAAGATTGTCGCTTTAAGGGATCCTTACGGTCTTATTTTTGTAACCGTTTTGGTGATAAGGAAGAAGACTGTAGACTCCGAAATCGCAACTTCAATAAACCAAGTACTTCTTCAACCGAGCCGAAGTTCTTACATATAATAGATGAAGAAAATGTTAACAATGTCTATGCTAAGTTGTGCCTTGTCAATGGCAAACGTACTCTTGCATATTTGGGCAGCGGCAGCCAAGTCAACATTATCCATTGAAGCTTTGTCAAGAAAAAATCTTCAAACCTACCCTGTAAGCAATTCTTTCAAAGCTTCTGGTTGATCTATCATTACAACAAGAGAAGCTGTGAACTTTACTCTAGAACTGGATAGGATCAATCTAGAAACATCCGCTTTCGTCACCGATGCTGACATGGAAAATTTCAATTTGATAATTGGACAACCCGTGATAAATACTGAGGGAGTCGCCTTTGTTATTTGTTTGGGAATAACCAAGTTAACAGAATCGGATTTTGATTTATTGGAGGAGATTAATTTGGAAGCCAGTGAAATGTGTCCCAAGATAATCGTTATCGAAGACATAACTATACTCCCCCGTTCTACGACAATGGTACCAGCTAAAATTATCAACAGCCACGAAGATGAAGAAATATTAATGGAGAGTAGACATATTTTCAACTGGGAAAATGTTTGTTTAGTATTCCTGGAATTTTAATTAGAGGTCCAAGCTGTATGGTGCCAGTTTCTAACATGAGTGACGAATAAATGGTCTGGAAAGAGGGTAAATTAATTGGCAGAGGATATAAATGTACCAACTTCACTACTATGAGAATGCCCAGGATAAGTCTATTGAAAAAAAAATGTGGTTTCTAGAAAATTTAAAATAGATCAGGTAGATGTTAATGATGAATTGGATTCTGAGTCAAAAAATAAGTTATTGGGTATTCTGAATGAGTGGCAGCAGTGTTTTGCTGACAGTTCGGCACAGTTAGAATCAGTTAAGGGTTGTGAACTTGAAATTGAACTAATTGATGAGTCCAAACTTGTATGTTATCGCTCTTATAGATTGTTTTCGAAAGAAAGACAAGTAGTTAGAGGAAAAATTGAGGAGTTGCTCGAAGCAGGCGTAATCAGGGAGTCACATTCAGATTTTGCTAGTCCTATAGTATTAGTTGAAAAAAAAATAACGAACTACGGTTTTGTGTAGATTATAGGGCTTTGAACAAAGTTACAATGGGCTCATTCACGCTAATTTAGATTTTTATTGAAAATTATATATTATAAAAGTAAATCATCTCCCAAGTATGCCACAAAATTTTCCGGTTTTTATGTCAATTAACGACTGAGCAAGAGAAATTGAAAATGTGAGATCGCCCGCGATACATTTTGACGTCACACCAGGCAACGAGCTTCGAGCGGTAGCAACCGGGCCTGTAGTTGGAGATTATGAATCCCTGCCATCGCCGCCAACACTTCCTTGTCACCGAGTCGACTGTTGTGACGTCAAGCTCGACCACATTCGACTATTAATTTGAAGGGGAAGATAAAGAGTGAAATCTCAGATTTTTTGCAGATGTACTATTTGAAAAATAAACTTTCAAATAATGAAATAAAGAAAATGTTAAATGAGCCCATTAGAGATGCTAACCCGATGCCAAACATAGAGGAGCAATTGAATTTATTAGGAGGCAAGTTTTATTTTCCTAGCTTAGATTGTAACCAGGGGTTTCACCAAATAGCTGTAGCTGCAAACTCCATACCGAAACCTGTCTCTCCGATGGTCACTATAAGTATCTGAAAATGCCATTTGGCCCAACCAATGCACCGTCTGTATTTCAAAGGGCCTTTAATAATACTTTAGGCAATTTACGTCACCATCAAGTTTTAGTTTACATGGATGATTTACTGATTCCGTCAAGCTCCATTGACGAAGGTTTACATTTACTAAAAATGGTTCTCAAAATTCTGTGCGAAGCTGCATTCAGATTGAATCTGGGAAAATGTTCATTTTTGAAAAATCGAGTACATTTTCTTGGCCATGAAATCGGCCCAGACGGTATCTTTTCTGGGTAAGTTGAGGTTGAGGCGGTTGAAAATTTCAAAATACCTTCAAATGCTCATGAAGTTAGGCAGTTTCTAGGTTTGGCACAAAATTAACCAGAAAGAACATTCCATTTGAATGGGGCCAACGCCAAATTTCAGCTTTCTCAGAACTCAAAAACCTTTTGACATCAAAACCAATTTTGGTGCCTTATGACCCCAATTTGAGAATAGAATTATTTACAGACGCTAGTTTGAAGGGTTGGGGCGGGA